CCTCTGACCCTATCCCTCTCATCTTAGCAAAGGAAGAAACTGGTCTGGCCCAACCAGACCCTAATCCAGGCCATCCTACCGGCCCCACCCGTACAGCAGGCCCGTGCTAAGTGGAACCACATGGCTTGGGCAGGGGAGGGCGGGGGCTCCCCCTGGGCCCAAAGCCCCTGCCTGCTCTCCCCTCCCCCCAGCAGACTGTCCCACTGACCCCCTGACCCAGCCTCTTGGCAGGAGCCAGATTCTGTCGAATCTGCCCATGACCTCACTCTGGGGGCGGTTCTGCTGACCTCACCATGGGGAGTCAGGGTGGGGGGCCAGACTTGGGGAAATAGGGGCTTGGATGAGGGACCCGCCATCCCAGCTCCTCCTGGGTCAGACGCTTCATTCTCCAGATTTACAGACCCCTATTCCAGCCTCAGCTCACTCTTGCCTCCAATCCCCTGTTCTTTCTCCTCTCCCCCCCCCCCCGCCCCTCTCTGTCCCACTTTCTGTGTTGGTCTTTCCAGGTCTCTCTCTGCATCCAACTCTGAATCAGTCTGTCTCTCTCACTCTCTTGCTTCCTAGCTCTTTCTGTGTGTCTCTTGGTATTTCATTGGTTCTCCTTCCTCTTTCTGTGTGTGTGTGTGTGTGTGTGTGTGTGTGTGTGTGCGCGCGCGCGCCCGCGCACGCGCATCTGTGCAGGGGGGTTTCTCTCCTCATCCCCCTCTCTCTCCATCCACACCCCCCAATTCTGCCGCTGCCACCATAAGCCCCATCTCTAATTGCCTGTTCTCTGGCTAGGCTGTCATTAAGAGGTATTTGGGTTACAGGCCCCTGGGACTAGGATCTGGGCTCCCAGGCTCTGTCAACCACAAGGGTCACTCCCCCATGGAATGATCATCCCAGCTGCCCCCTCTCCATGCTGGAGCCCAGTGGAGGGCTGAGAGTCACGACCCCGTACAGAGTGGCTCTCCCAGGCTTTCCCCTCACCCGGACCCCTGTCTCAATGCAGCTGGACGGGGGGGGGTAAGAGGAGGTCCTCTCGGCCAGCTGCTCATTCACATTTAAAAATCCTTCTTAGCACCTAACCCGAATGTCTCCTCCTTCAATCTTGCATCTCTTCTGTAGTGACCTTTCAGAAACTGACTGCCCTTTCTTTTCATGGCTGGCTTTGTGACAAGGGGACACACAAGAGGCATTGAGTCCTGCCTGCAGGGTCAGAGAGTGGGGGTCTGTCAGGGACCCAGCCTGACCTTCCCCCCACACTCTCCCCTGTGCTGGTCAGGGCCCCAGGGAGATGTAGATGGGGTCTAGGATATGAAGGGAGGCAGGCAGAGTCTAGGCTGGGACATGGTTGGGATCTCCTCGGATGTGTAGGAGAGCACAGGTGTGAGTGTGTGTGCTACTGTATACATGCATGAGATTGTGTAAGCATGTGCATGACTATCTATGGACCAGGGAGTGGCTGGGCATGTTGTCAGTGCATGCCAAGTATCTGGCCTACAATGGAGAGACGAGGTGCAGTGATTTGACGTGTGGCTGGGTGTCTCCTAGCAGTGAGCTCACAGTACTGCTGGTCACGCAGGTGACTGTGATTATAATAGGTCAGACGTGAGAGGGGAACTGTAGTTACATGGGAGAGTATGGCCAAGTCGGAGAGCGGGTGACTGGTTTTGAATGCTGACTGCGTTGCGTGGATATCAGTGGAAACATGTGCAAGAGCTGGAAAGAGTAGGCGGGTGCCCAAGGCTGTGACCCTGTGGCGGGTGGCTGCTGGGGTTGCCTGGGGCGTGGGCACCGGTGTTTCACATTCCTGCTGTCCCAGAGGGCTTATATTTTGAATGAATGCCTGAGATTGCACGACTGTGTGGATATGTCAGCATGGGAACGGGACAGAGGCCAATTTAGGATAATCCACGTGAACAGGCACCTCCCTGAACTCCAGAGAAAGTGAAGGAGTGTAGGATGGTGTGAGTGTGTGTGTGCGTGTGTGTGTGCGTGTGTGTGTGAGTGTGTGTGTTGGGGGGCTGAGCTCACCCTAGGGAGAGATTTCCAGGAGGGTCTAGCCCAGCCTCTCTCAGATCAGGGATGCCACTCGAGGGACCACGACCTTCCCAAACCCCTGGGCGCCCCCAGCCGCGAACCCTGTGGGGCGGAGCTCGGCGTCCAGCCAAAAGCGCGCAGCTGGGCGTGCGTCAGCGCTGACTCACCCGTCCGCCGGCCCCCGGGACCCTTGGGGCCCCTGAGAAATTCCTCAGGAAAAACACCCGCAGCGCGCCCAGCTGGGGGGAGCAACTTCCACTTCCGCCCCCGCCCGCGCTCCGCCCCGCCCCGCGCCCCGCCCCGCCTCGCCCCTCACCGCTGCCCTCCCGAGGCCCTGTCCATGGTGCTGATCGCGGCTCTGGGGAGCGCAGGGTGGGGGGAGGGGGAGAAGTGGGGGCAGAGGAGGTGGGCGCGCGCCAATCGGAGGCAGAGGAGGGAGGATGAGAATGGGATGAAGCCATTAGGGGAGATGCAAAGGAAACTCTGGATCCCCGGTTAGCCCCCTCCCATACTCGTCCCTACTCACCATCACCCCCAGAATCATCCACTCACGTCCAATGGGCAATTGTTTACGCCCCAGAATCACAACCGACCCTCATCGGGTCACCCCAAAGACAATCAATCACAGGCGTAATACTCACACGATTATGCTCGTAAGTCAGCCCCACCAGACACACCCACAACTCACAATCATACCCTTGGTCAGGGATGATCCATCACCCATGTTCGTCCAATAATCGTCAACTCCCACGCCCACTTTCCACACACACGATTTCACTTCAAATGGCCTCACGCACATTGCCGCACACACCACTCTACATCGCATCCATACCAACGCATCCACCAGTGAAACCCGGTCACACGTTTCCCCCCTCCCGCCTGCTGTCACACCCACAAGTCGCCCAGAGTCGGACACGCGAGCCCGAACACAATACTCTATCCCCGCGCAACGCGCACGCCGTCCCCCCGCCCCCCATTCCTGGCTCCACCCCATCTTTTGGGATCTCGTTAGGTCCTGCCCGGGGTCCTTTCCCTATCTCCTCCCTCCCGGCTCACCAGCCTGCGTCCGGAGCAGAAGCTGCAGCGAGGCCAGGAGCAGGCAGAGGCCGGCCCGCGGCTGGCTCAGGCCTCGGCGACTCCCCATCCCGGCGGGCCCCACACGCAAGGCGGGGACCGTCCGGGGCGTCTACGGGGCGCGGCGGCTCCTCGGGCTCCGTGCGCTCACTTGCCGCGGCCGGCTCCACTCGGGATCGGCAGGAGACTGCAGGAGACCCCGCCCTGGCCTCGCCCGGCGCTCCAGCGCCCGGCCGGGCGGGGCTCGCTGCAGGGAGGCGGGGGGGGGGGGTGGCTGACAGCTGGTGGGGGAGTTGGGAAAGTTTGTGCTGAGTGCTGATTGGCCGGCTAAGGCTGGAGCCCTGGGCAAGGAGCTGGGCCCTTTATGCCCCACCCCACAGTGGAAGAAAAGGGTCACTCCCACCCAGCCTTAATATTCGGGGTCTGTTTTACCCCAAACTCTTTCCTCCTAACCGTCTCCCTCAAAGGAAATCTTAGTGTCATTCAAACCTTCAGCCTCCATCCAGGCCCTGAAATTAAGGGATATAGCTTTGTACCAAATCTTTTCTGTCTCGCCCAGGCCCCCAAATGGGGTTCCAGCCTGATGCCAAATTCTGTCACTTGCTTTATCTCGGTGGCTTAGCCACACTATGAAAGGTACCAGCTTCATCCCAAGGGCTTCCCTTCAGGTGTCTAAATAGAGAATCCTCATCCCATCTCCAGCCTCACCCCAGATTACAAAATGGGGTTCCCAGCCTTACCCCAAACCCCCATTTCTCCACCCAAATTCCAGAATTGGATGTGCTGGCCTCACCCCCAAACCCTCGACACGGATTCCAAAACAGAGTTCTATATATTTCCCCCCAAACTCTTAGTCTTCAAACAAAGGGTCCCATCTCCATCTCTAGCCTTCCTGTCCCCTCTCCCAGACACGGGTCCGCAAATGGATGCCATAGCCCCAATTCCAAATCTTCACATACGCCCCAATTAAATGGGGGAGTCTGGCCCTATCTGAAAACAGAGCATGCTGCTGGGGAAGGTGGATCCCTGCCATTTCTGGGGTGAGGCAGAGCTGTCTCTCATCCTACTGGGACCCCCGCTGTGAAGCTCCCTCCCCCCAGGGGATCACAGGGAGCTGTCGGTGCAATTGAACAAGCACAGACTTGCAGGCTCTGAGGGTGCTTCTGCAGGGAGAAACCCAAGAGGCGTATCCTGGGCCCTAAACTGCCCCACCATGGGGAAGAGGGAGAAGCCGGCAGTGTCTCCCTCCCAGGCTCTGGCTTCACGGACAAAGAGTCTCTGTGTCCCTGGAGAGAAGGGGTGGGGCCCCATCTGGCCTGAGGGTGAAATGGGGGCCGTGGGGTGGGGAGAGAGGGAATCTCCCCAAGCTGCTCCTCCTCCCTCCTCAGGGACCTTGAGGCTAAGACTTCTGCTAAAAGATTCTCATAAGATCCTGCCCTGCCCTGCTGGGAAGTTCTTCCTAGTCTAACTCATTTTCGGGCCCATCTATGCTCCTTCCCTTTTTTGAAAGGACCCTTCTGGGGCCACACTCACTGTCATTTTCTCCCACTGTCTCCCTCCAATCAGAGATTCTTTGCCCAGAATAGAGACAGGAAGGGAATGCCCCTGCTAGTTCCCTCAGCCCTGAATAATTTGAAATCCTAATAAAAAGACCCTAGTTATGAGTGGAGCAGTGAAGAGAAGAAAGTTTTTTAACAGATAAAGGAGAGAGACTATCTTGAGGTTAAAGTTTTCCTCCCAGCTGCCTGTCCAGGGTCAGTTCAGAATTGGCATCATCTGGGGCCCCTTTGCCTTGCAGGGGGGGGACCATTGCAGGGTGTCCAGGAGGGTGCAGAGGAGCCAAGGATGGGTGGCAGGAGTCAGGTGCTGGCCAGCAGAGGTCACCCATCCAGGGCGGGATCAACATGGCCGACGCACCCCGGACTGTATTGATCTCAGGCTGCTCGTCGGGAATCGGCCTGGAGCTCGCGGTACAGCTGGCTCATGACCACAGGCAGCGCTACCGAGGTTAGAGGCCCAGGGTGGGGCCGGGCAGGGGAGGGGTGGGCACGACTCCCGAGGACCTTCAGCCGCCCTGGCACTATTTCCACTAGCTCATCCCTTCAGCTGTATTTGTGGGCTTGAGGAGGACCCAGGACACGTGGAGGCCCCCTTCCCACCTCTGCTCATGAATCACCCCCTCATCCAACCAGAATTCCTTGTGCAACTACTGGGTGCCAGGCACTATTCTAGGTGCTGGAAACACAGCAGTGAACAAAATAGACAAAAACCTCTGCCCTGAGTAGTGGTGTGGTGAGGGAGGAGGGGGAGGAGAGACAATAAACAGATTTTAAAGTTGTATAATAAGTCCAGCGCCAATAAATGCTGAGAAGCAAAATAAAACAAGGGTAGAGTGTGGTAGGAGGTGGAGGTTGGTGATATTTTTTAAAGGGCTGGTGGGGAGGGCTTTGCTGAGGCTCCACTTTGGCATTCCCTAGGACTTCCCCTCCCCCACCCCTCCCCTGATTACTGCTCCAAGATAAGCCTCTTAAGTGACCCTGACCTTGGGGGCTTAAAGGGGGGGGAGGGGATGGGCCCTAAATCTAGGGAGCCAGCCTCCTGCAACTCTGGAGTAAATTGCCCCAGCCTGCACACCACCCGTGGGGACCTCTGACCCAGAGCATGCTGGAGCTGAAGTGGGCACAGGGCCAGTACTTAAGAGGAGTTTGCAAGGGACAAGGGCATTGCCCCAGTTGGCAGGACTGATTCTCGCAGCCCTCTGCCCTCTGTCTTAGAGACACACGCAGCTTTGGGTGTGACAGTCGGAGTGCCAGTGTGCGAGGAAGCAATAGCACTGTGTCTCTGGATAGGCAGATGAGTGTCTAAAACCGCTGAAGGGTGTTTACTGAGTGCCTACAATGTGCCAGGTTCTGATCAAAGTGTTGCGCATCACATATATCATTTAATCCCCGCACCATGCCTCTGAGGTGGCCACTATCATTAGCTCCATCTTAGAAATGAGGAAACTGAGGCACATCCTCCCAAAGATCCCTGCCCAAGGTCAATCAGCTGGAAAGTGGCAGAGCCTGGATTTGAACCCAGGCAACCCATACACTTGTCACTGTAAGTAGATGCGTGTGCTCCCATTCATCTGCGCAACACCCGTGAATCACGCAGGCCCACAGAGAACACGAAAATGCCCACCAGGGCTGTGCATGTGTGATTGTGGGTACATGCATGATGGGTACAAACATGTATGCAGGTATTTGAGCTCAGCACGCCAACAAACCCAAGCGCAAGTCTCAGTTCTAACACTTACCAGGGGTGAGACAGACAAGGAACTTCATTTTTGCTTAGCGTCAGTGCGTTAATCTCTATGATAGGGGTAATAACTTCCCCTCCTTGTCCTGGCTACTATTGCTAAATAACAAATCATTCCAAAATTTATGGTGTAATAGAACAACTGTAATCATCTGTCTCTCCTGCTTTACAAAGGCCATAAATTTGGAAGGGCTCAGCCAGGCAGTTCTGGCTCAGGGTCAAAGGCTACAACCAAACCAGTTGGGGATAGTCACAGGCCTGGGCAGCCATGTCTGCTCCTTACAGTAATCTCAGGGCTTCTCCATGTGGTCCCTCTCTCTGGCTAGCTTGGGCTTCCTCCCAGCATGTAGCCTCAGGAGAGCTGAGCTGCTACAAGGTGGCTGAAGACTTTAAGAATGAACATTACAGCAAACAAGGCAGAAACTGCAACATCCTTTCTGGCTTAATCCCGGAAGCCATCCAATGTTACTTTCACCCTATTCTATTGACTCCCAGCTCATCTCAAGATCCAAGGAGAGGGAAATGAGATTTCATGACTTGAGGGGGAGCAGCAAAGTTCTCAAAGAGCATATGCGATGAAAGATATTGTGATCATCGGGGCGCCTGGGTGGCTTAGTCGGTTAAGCGTCCGACTTTCGCTTAGGTCATGATCTCGCAGTTCGTGGGTTCGAGCCCCGCGTCGGGCTCTGTGCTGACTGCCAGCTCAGAGCCTGGAGCCTGTTTCAGTCTGTGACTCCCTCTCTCTCTGACCCTCCCCTGCTCATGCTGTCTCTCTCTCTCTCTCTCTCAGAAATAAATAAAACATTAAAAAAAAAAAAAGATATTGTGATCATCTTTGGGAAATTAGTCAGTGGCCTAATCATACTGTTCTTGTGAGGATTGGAGGTAGGGCTTATAAGTATTTAGCACGGTGTTTGGTACATGGTAGGTATTCAGTAAGCTGAAGTATCTGAGGATGATGTAAATATGGCTATTTGCATGTACACACACACACACACACACACACACGTTGACCCTAAGTGTGTACGTATTTCTTTTCTCAAGACAATATGTTCTATATTTATTTTATTGTCTTCCTTACTGAGCTATACATTCTGTGAAGGCAGGGACTTTGCCCATCTCATTTCATGCAATAGTCTCAGCACCTAGAATAGGGCATAGTGTATACTAAGTAGATACTCAGTAAAGGATGGATGGATGAATGAATGAAAGTACATGTAAATGTACGTGCACAAATATGCGTCTGTGGTTGTGTAGTAAATGTAGGTGTGTAAACCTTGGTCTCCATTCCTCTGTGACTGTCCATGCACGATTATGGAAATATATGCAAATGAATGCAGAGGGAAAGGGAACCCAGTGCTTGCCCCAACCATGCTCTCTGTCCCCAGTGGTGGCCACCATGAGAGACCTGGGAAAGAAGGGGACACTGGAGGCAGCTGCTGGAGAGGCTCTGGGGCAGACCCTCACCGTGGCCCAGCTGGACGTATGCAGTGACGCGTCAGTGGCCCAGTGTCTCAGCTGCATCCAGGGAGGGGAAGTGGACGTGCTGGGTAAGACTGAAAACAGCCCCTGGGGGTCACTCCCCTCCCTGACCGAAGCCCAGATCCTCACGACAGTGAATCCTCTCCACTGTCTGAGCACTAGACTTCCTGCTTCACTAGCAACCTCTAGCCCTGGACAGAAGGGGTAGACAAGCTGGCTAAAAGCCCAGGGTACCAGTTTATTATGGATACAAGAATAAACTTGAGTCCTGGGTGTAGGATGGATTCTATTGAATAGAACTTCTCACATTTGGAGAAAACCATATGTAGTTGGAAAAATTACTCCGATGAGTCATTTGGGGAAGGGAGCATGTTGAAGAAGCAACACATGGTCCCTCAGAGGCTTTCTGAGGAGGGTGGGTGTGGCTGTTTTGATGCAATTTGGGGTCAGAGCTGAATTGCTCATGCATAAGGGGAGGCTGTTCCCAGTGGCCCTCCCCCCTCCTCCACCCAGGGTTCAGGGTCCCTATAAGAAATGGTAAACTATACATAAAGATCACCAAGGCTCCACATTCTTCCACTCCAGATACTCTGGCCTGGGGGCACCTGGGTGGCTCAGTTGGTTAAGTGTCCGACTTCAGCTCAGGTCATGATCTCACAGTTTGTGAGTTCGAGCCCCGCATCAGGCTCTGTGCTGACAGCTGGCTCGGAGCCTGGAGCCTGTCTTCGGATTCTGTATCTCTCTCTCTCTCTGACCCTCCCCTGCTCATGCTGTCTCTCTCTGACTCTCAAAAATAAATAAAAAACATTAAAAATTAAAAAAAAAAAAAAGATACTCTAGCCTGACCCTGAATTTGGAGCAAGGGATGGGATGATTCAGGGAGTGTCCCTAAAGGAGGGGTGCTCGAAGGGTTTGGGGGACCTCAATGTAATCTTCATCCCCACAACCTTAGTGAATAATGCTGGAGTGGGCCTGGTGGGGCCCTTGGAGGGGCTCAGCCTCGCTGCCATGCAGAACGTCTTTGATACCAACTTCTTCGGGGCTGTCCGCCTGGTCAGAGCTGTGCTTCCTGGCATGAAGAAAAGGAGAAAGGGCCACATTGTGGTGGTCAGCAGTGTCATGGGACTGCAGGGTAAGCCCTGGGGGATCCTCAGTGTCTGGGGGTCCCAGTGTCTGACCCTCCCCAGGCTGTTAGGATGGCAAATAGGTTTTAGCACCAAATGAGGCTGTATTGGGAAGGACTTTGAAGCTCCGAAGGAAAAATTTCTGGAATGGCTTATGTCTGCCATACTGCAAGAGGAGGCAGTAGTGTTACAAATACTGCCAATGGCCATCCACATCCAGCATCAACCCTCCTTCCCAACATGTACAAGTCTCTCCCATCTCCCCAAACCCAAAAGAACCATCAGAACTCCTTCTCTGTGGCTTTTTCTTGCCAAATACCTCCAGCCAAGCCCCAGTGATATCTAGCTTTGGGGCTCTGAGGTTCTGCAGAAAAAGGGAGCAGTGATTGTTCAGTGATGTCTGCTATCGGCCTACTGGGGAGGCCACGTATTTGCCATCCATGCTCCTCGGTCTTTCCTACTTGAATCCCTCTAGACTCCTTTCCTCCCCATGGAAATTCCCTGGGGTCCATCCCCCTCCTCAGAAGGCCCCTAAAGAATCCACCTTATTTGTTACCCTGCCAAGGGGAATCTGATTCTACTACTCAGCCCCATTTCTTTGGTCTCTCCTGATGTCAGGGGCTACATTCCCTCTCAATAAAAACAGATAAGAACCCCAATGGGGCGCCTGGGTGGCTCAGTCAGTTGAGCGTCCGACATCGGCTCAGGTCATGATCTCGCGGTTCGTGGGTTCGAGCTCCGCGTTGGGCTCTGTGCTGACAGCTCAGAGCCTGGAGCCTGTTTCAGATTCTGTGCCTCCTTCTCTCTCTGATCCTCCCCTGCTCATGCTGTCTCTATCTCTCTCTCTCAGAAATAAATAAAACATTAAAAAAAAAAAAAGAACCCCAACGAATAGGACTTGCCTTCAGGGACCCTGGCAATCCCATGTTCCAGTGGCGCAGAGGTTTAGGGGATGGCGGGAAGAAGGGTTATCCAGGGCTAAGGGCAGATGGAGCACAGCACACCCCAGACAACCTCATCCTGAGCCCATATGCTCCCATCACACACACACACACACACACACATACACTCATCACGCTGGCCCTCATAGCCCCTCATTCTGATCTTCAAACCCTCTTTGCTCTGTCTCCCGAAGACCCCATGTCCCTCTGGATCCACAAGCCCATCGCCCAGACCCCAAAGGGCTCAACCTCCTCCAATCCTCTCAGGTGTCGTGTTCAATGAAGTCTATGCAGCCTCCAAGTTCGCCCTGGAGGGATTCTTTGAAAGTCTGGCTGTGCAGCTGCTGCAGTTCAACATCTTGTGAGGAGGGTCTTTGGGCAGAGAAGGGGGAATGGGAGACCGCAATGGGGAAAGACGTGGGAGACGGAGGCAGCTGGGGGGGGTGGGGTGGGAAGGCAACGATGGTGGGGGAAAGTGGTGAGAAAATGGAATCGGGAATGAGGAAAATGGAGGTATGGGAAGAGAGGGAGCAGTACCAGGGGAAGGGCAGTGGAGGGGCTGGGCCACCGGAAGGATGAGGTAATGTTGAGAAATGGGGAGAGCGAGGAGAGGGACGTTAATGGGGCAGCAAGAGAGTTGGGGCACCATACCCTCTGCCCCTCCCTATGTCCCCAGCATCACCCTGGTGGAACCTGGCCCAGTGGCCACTGACTTTGAGGGGAAGCTCCTGGAGCAGGTTTCCACAGCCGAGTTCCCAGACACTGACCCTGACACCCTGCACTACTTCCGAGATTTCTACCTCCCGGCCTCCAGAGAGCTCTTTCGCTGCGTAGGGCAGAGCCCACAGGACGTGGCCCAGGTGAGTGGGGCGGGGGGGGCGGGGGAGGCAGATCCCCAAGACTTGACTCAGGTATGTGAGGGTGCCCCACCCTGGAAACCCCGCCTCTCTGAATCCAAGAGCTCAGGGCTCCACCCCATAGGTCATCGTCAAGGTCATCGGCTCATCCAGACCACCCCTGCGCAGACAAACCAACACTCGCTACACTCCGCTGGCTGCGCTCAAGGCTGTGGACCCCTCCGGGAGCCTTTACGTGCGCACCTCCCACCAACTGCTCTTCCGCTGGACACGCCTCCTCAACCTTGGCCTCCGATGCCTTGCCTGCGGCTGCCTCCGCATGCGAATATGGCCCCAGTGAGCAGAGCTTCACCCAACCCTCTCTACCCCTGCACAGCCCCTTTGGCTCAAACTTATCTCACAGGCCAGTACAGACTCTTCATTCATTCATTCAGCAAACTCTGCCTGACCTGCTCTGTGCCTGGGCATTTCTGGGACCCCAGAAATCCCTCAGTCCCCAGGCACACACACACACACACACACCCATGGTCAGGGCCGGGGCAGAAAGAGGGACCCTTGAACCCTGGGCTGAGGAACCCAGAGTAGGGAGCTGGAGCTGTGTCTGGGAAGGCAAGATAGGCTTCCTGGAAGAGGGGACATTGTTGCTGGACCTTGAAAGACGGAATAGACTCTGCCTCATTCAACCTCTGGACTTACATTATCTTGGATGTGAAAATACAAGGATGATCTAAAATCCCCTCCACATAGAACTGAGGTGACTAAGGGGTCTTCAAGACTTTTCTGGTCACACAGCCCACCAGCAAAATGTTTCATGCGCTCGCCAGTGGTACATGTATATTTTTTCATAAAATATATATGTTACCACTAGCAATCACTATATCAAAAATTTAATAAAGCTCAACTCCCTATGTCTAAATAAAAAATTTTAAAAAGCAATAAGATTCACTTCACACATTAGAACGGCTACTATAAATAAACCATGAAAACAAACAAAAACTCCAGAAAACACCAAGTGTTAGTGACAATGGAGAGAAATCGGAACTTGCGCCCTGTCGGTGAGGATGTAAAATGGTGCACTCACTATGGAAGATAGCATGATAGTTCCTCAAAAAACTGAAACAGAATTATCACATGACTCAGCAATTCCATTTCTGGGTATTTTATCCAAAAGAATTGAAAGCAGAGTCTCAAGGAGATATTTGTACACCCTCATTCATAGCAGAACGGTTCACAACAGCCAAATGTGGAAGCAACCCCATCAATGGTCCATCAGCAGAAGACTGGGTAAACACAACGAGGTACATCCATACCATGGAATATTATTCAGCCTTAAAAAGAAAGTCAATTCCAATACCTGCTACAACATGAATAAACCTTGTGAGCATTAGACTCAGTGAAATAAGCTAGACACAAAAGGACCAATATTGTAGGATTCCACTTTGCTGCGGTCCCATTCACAGAGACAGGAAGTAGATTAGATGGTGGGGGGCGCCAGGGGCTGGGGAGGCGGTGGGAAGTCAGTGCTTCGTGGGGACAGAGTCTCAATTTGCAAGATACAATGGGTTCTGGGGATGGATGGTGGGGAAGGTGGTACAACTACGAAAATGTACTTAACCCCACGGAACCGAACACTTAAAAACGGTGAAGATGGTAAATTTCATGTTGTGTATATTTTATCACAGTTAAAATTTTTATTTTTCATTATTTTTTATGTTTAGTTATTTTTTGAGAGAGAGCATGAGCGGGTGAGAGGCAGAGAAAGAGGGAGACGGAGGATCTGAAGTGAGGTCTGGGCTGAGACGGGAGAGCCCCATGTGGGGTCAAACTCACAGCCATGAGATGGTGACCTGAGCTGATGTCAGATGCTTAACTGAGTCACTCAGGTGCCCCCACAATTAAAACATTTTTAAAAGCTGGAGTCTGGGTGGCTCAGTTGGCTAAGCATCTGACTCATGATTTCAGCTCAGGTCATGATCTTGTAGTTCATGAGTTTGAGCCCCACATCAGGCTTCACGCCAACAGTGCGGCACCTGCGTGGGACTCTATCTCTCTCTCCCTCTCTCTCTGCCCCTCCCCTGCTCTCTCTGTCTCTTAAAATAAACAAATAAACCTTTAAAAAAATATTTTTAAAGCAATAATAGCTCTACTGGGGCCCACAAGAGGTATTACCAAGTTTCTTGGCCCTCATGTGGAGAATTCAGAAGCAAATGGACTCGGTGTAAATGCTGACTCTGCTTCTTGTTTACTGGGTGGCCCTGGGCAGGTGATGTGCTGGTGCCTCTTCCGGAGAGCAGAGCTATCAGTAACAGCACTGAAATGACAGGAAGAGTCCCCCGCGCTGGACTTGGACCCTTTGTGATGGTTCTCATCTGGCTACCATCTTGGAGGGCCGGACTCTGGGCAAAGGAGTTTTCATTAAAGTTTGTTCTTGCATCCTTGTTAGACAGAGGCACTCGGAAGCCAACCAGTTCATAAATGAGGGAACCAAGGTTGTCCAGAGCAGGGGGCGGGGCAGGAATCAAGCCTGGGTCCTTCCAACTCAGTCCATGCCCTCAGGGGTCTCTAGTCACCTCCTCTAGGAAAAGGGAAACTGAGTCCAGGGCCCTCCAAAGAGACTCAGTGAAATAAGCTAGACACCGTGTCAGAAATAATGGAGCTACTTACTGCTTTTTTTTGTCAAGGGGCCCTTCCTTTCCCCTCCCTGACACTGGATTTCTGAAGCATGTTGGAATACCTGCAAAAGAAAGTATGGGGGCACCTGGGTGGCTTACCTTGGGTAAGCATCAGACTCCGGCTCAGGTCATGATCTCATGGTTCATAGGTTCGAGCCCCGCGTCGGGCTCTGTGCTGACAGCTCAGAGCCTGGAGCCTGTTTCAGATTCTGTGTCTCCCTCTCTCTCTCTGACACTCCCCTGCTCACGCTGTCTCTCTCTCTCTCTCTCAGAAATAAATAAAACATTTAAAAAATTAAAAAAAAAAAAGTGGGGCACCTGGGTGGCTCAGTCGGTTAAGTGTCCGACTTTGGCCCAGGTCATGATCTCACGGTTCGTGAGTTTGAGCCCTGCGTCAGGCTTTGTGCTGACAGATAACTCAGAGCCTGGAGCCTGCTTCAGATTCTGTGTCTCCCTCTCTCTCTGACCCTCCCCTGCTCACGCTGTCTCTCTCTCTCTCTCTCTCTCTCAGAAATAAACTATTAAATTTTTTTAAATAAAAATTTAAAAACAAAGTATAAAATTAGATCACGATGCCAGTTGCATAGCCTTGTGACTTTGCCCAAACCACTGAATCTCACACTTTAAAATGGCAGAGTTCATGGTATCTGAATTCTATCTCAATTTAAAATTTAAATACATTTTTTAAAAAGAATATAAGGAGGGGCGCCTGGGTGGCTTAGTCGGTTGAGCGTCCGACTTTCGCTTAGGTCATGATCTCGCGGTTCGTGGGTTCGAGCCCCGCGTCGGGCTCTGTGCTGACTGCCAGCTCAGAGCCTGGAGCCTGTTTCAGTCTGTGACTCCCTCTCTCTCTGACCCTCCCCTGCTCACGCTGTCTCTCTCTCTCTCTCCTAGAAAAGTAAAACATTAAAAAAAAAAAAAGAATATAAGGAGCACACGTGTGTAAGAGGTCTTTGGGCTGCTTCAAGAGGTTCACCCAAGAATTCCATCAGCCAGTTTCCTCCACATCTAGTTTCTGGTTGTGTTGGATTCGGCTAATGGGAGGCATCAGCAGGAGAAGAGAGGCTGGGAGGAGAAAGGCCAGAGTATTTGTCCCCCGAGAGCTCCCTCCGTGGGGGTCACTGTGCTTACAGCATCTCTTATCTGAGGCCCCAACTCCAGTTTCTGAGAGCCACTCCCCCTTTGTGTCCCTTTCAGCTAAAGATGGCCATAGGGCCCCACAGAGGCCAGCAGGAAGGCACTGCGCTCCATAGAGCCACCCACCTTCTGTCTCTACTTTTGCAATCGTCCCTGTCTTCATTGATCCCCAAATTACCCGCTTTGAGTGTACTATCTCTTTCCACCCGGGACTCTGACTGACGTAACGTTATGTGTGCAAAAGAGCAGGGGAGCAAAACGCAGGCACACGAGCCCACCATCAGACTCCACCATTGGGACATTATTGATCTTTGCTGCCTGCCTTTATCCCTATAGTTTCTACTGTCATGAATTCTAGGTCCAATATTCTCTTGTTTGGGAAGAAAAAAAAAAAACCTCCCGTAAATAAATTATTTTAAAAGACAAATTTATCTTCTTGCCGACAAGGAAAAGTCATCATGGTCACCATACGTGAAGCCAAACTCAGTAGTTCTCTACAGGTGGCGCATACAGTACCCCAAACCCCCTTCTCAGCTACGGAAGTGAGCATGTGACCGCGATTCCGCTCAGCAGATGCACAGGCTTTAGATTTGAGAAACACCGCCCCCCCCCCAAAGGAAGAGGGATCGGGAACCGGAGGTGCAGGAGGGACGGGGGGAGGGGGGCGGCATTGCCAAAATCGTCATGGAAAGCCAGAGCTGCCGACTGGCTTCAGAAGGATGATTTAAGCTCCTGCCCTGCACCACCACTTTGTCCCTGTCCATCTTCCAAGGCTGGTGATTTCATTAGCCCCCAGCATCTGCTGGATAAATTCCTTTACAGCTTAAATCACCCTGAGTCAGTTTCTGTTGCATCTAAAGAAGAATCACTAGCGATCCAGATGGCAAAATAAAAGCAAAAGCAGGGGAGGGGGGAAGAGTTACTACATTTAAGCTGCAAGCTATTGCTGACCAACAGAAACAGCCCCACAAGTTGTTGAAGCGCTAACCCCTGGTTCTGGGTTTCTGCACTCACACCTGCCCCTCCGTCCTGTCTCCCCCCATCTTAGAGGCAAGTCTGTCTTGATTGCTCACGCCAAAACTCTTGGAGTCATCTCTACCTCCTCTCTCTCATACCTCACGGCTAATCAGATCTTGTCCACTTGACCTGTAAAATATCTTCAAAACCAACCATTTCGCAACACCCTCTAGGCCCCCACCCTAGTCCAGCCACCATCATTTCTCACCTGGAGTACTGCACCAGCCTCCTCCCCCCTCCCTGCTTCTGCACTCGCTCCCCCTACAATCCATTCTCCACGCAACAGCCCAGAGGATCTTTAAAAACAGCTTTTGAGTAGATAAAATGTCGGTGTTTTAAAAAATCAATATATAGGGGCGCCTGGGCGGCTCAGTCAGTTAAGTATCCGACTTTGGCTCAGGTCATGATCTCACAGTTTCTGGCTTCGAGCCCCGCATCAGGCTCGGTGCTGACTGCCAGCTCAGAGCCTGGAGCCTGTTTCAGATTCTGTGTCTCCCTCTCTCTCTGACCCTCCCCTGCTCACACTGTCTCTCTCCCTGTCTCTCAGAAATAAAAAAAATAAAAACATTAAAAAAATAAAAACCAATATATATACACATATGTATATATTTAACTTTTTTTTTAAGTAGGCTCAATGCCCAGTGTGGGGCTTGAACTTACAACCCTGCGAGTGAAAGTCACATGCTCTGCTGACTGAGCCAGCCAGGCACACCTAAAAGAATATTTTAAAAAACAATTCTGCTGGGGGCACCCACCTTAGTCAGTTGGGTGTCTAATTTTGGCGAAGGTCATGATCTCACAGCTTCTGGGCTCAAGCTCCACATCAGGCTCTCTGCTGTCAGCACAGAGTCTGCTTCAGATCCTCTGTTCCCCTCTCTCCATGCCCCTCCCCTGCTTACGTTGTCTCTCTCCCTCTCTCAAAAATAAATAAACGTTTAAAAAAACTCTCCTGCCTTCCTCTTTCCCTCAACTCCCCAATTCCTGACACCCCCCCA